TAATATATATATATATATATATATATATATATAATATTCTTTATTTATGAAATTTTGAACTGTTTGTTAACTAGACCTCAAATAAATCAACTAAAAATATTATTTTTTTAAAAAAAAAAGACAATAAGTCAGAGCAGAGCTGGTAAAACGTTACAAATGCTTTTGCCTCGAGAAAGAACTTCTTCAGTAACTGTGCACGTGCAAACCACTGTCCATATTCAGACTCATGTCTCCTTATAAAACCCTAAATTCTATAACTATTTTTATTGACAAAAAAATAATTTTTTTTTTGAAGAAGTAAAAAAGATACTCTAAAATGAAAAATAATGTTGGAAAATAAGCTTATATAAACATTTTACTAGTTACTATTTTCTCGGTCTCAATTTATATATCAGTAACAAGATATTCGATCTCTAGTGTGCAATTTCATAAGTAGAATCTGAAAATATAAATCGTGTGTATACTATATTTGTGCGGTAAAAAGACTTTTAGATTGACTCCCGATTTAAATAAAACATATCGAAGTAGGTTTGGGGGGGAAAATACCATATCGAAGTTCCAATTTATTTGTCACAATTCAAATTTTGAGAGTCGAATTTCTTAACTTTGAGTATAAAGTCGAACATAAAACAGATTAAAGGAATTATTATGTATAATTCACATTAAGAAAGTTAAAAATCCTAAAAAGAATTATGAAAAGATTACGATAAAAATAAATTAAATTTGACTCTCGAAATCTGTATGACAAACTCAATACATTGGGATGAAGAGAGCTCTATAATTGCCAAGTACCAAAAAACATGGTTATTACTAGAACTCAATAATCATGATTATGGAATAATAATGTTTTAAATGAATCTCACACAATTGATGGGTTTCATAAATAATCATATGATACTTTTTTTTTGGTTGTTTTTGTTAGAGAAGAGTTGAAATTCATTTATTATAAACTAATTTCAAACTCACCAAGAAACTAACAAAGTTTACATATCAAATTAATGACAAACATTTCATATCATGTGATCATAGTCAAACTCACAATAGAAAAACCTAAATTCAAAAGGACCTAAATTAAAGTGTAATGTGACTAAAAGAAATTAACAGTTATGAAGAACTTAATAAAATGACCAAAACAACAACACATTCCTAAGAATTATTGTAAACTAAATAGAGATAATTTCAACTAATTAAAGGTCACGACCCTCAAATTTTGGATCATGAACATATATGATACAATACTGGAGGGTCGTGACCTTAAACAAGTTAATCAGAGAAAATTATTACCCGGCCCTTCAACGAATCTCATCTAGTTAGAATGGAGGTCGACCTGTTGCCCAATAAGCCTCAGAAGGTAATTGCACATTATTGAGAAGATTAGGTGGCATTCCATGAAACAATGAAGGGTCGCCTAATAATTGTTGATGTTGTGGTCCTCCTGGAGCGACTGTCGCTCCAGGTGAACCTAGTGAACCCCCTTGAACCGGAAGTTGGTTCGAATCATCCTCCTCTAAAGGAAGTCTTTCATAAGCTGCATTGCTAAACGAAGCCGCCATAATAACAACCGGACCAGATGCCATAAGAGACCCTACCACACAACCTCCCACCACCTGACCTTGTCCGCCAGCTAAATAGATAGTCAACCCTGAAGCAGCTGGCGGAGCTGGTGGTGGGAGAAATGATCCTGCTAAAGATAATATCTCAAAACGTCCATGGAGGGTTGCAATCGCACCTGATAAGCCCAAAAAAAAAGGTAACATTACCAAGACGGTCAGGGGTGTAGCCACATAGTGGGAAGGGTGTCCAATTGAACACTCTTTGTCGGAAAAAAATAACATACATTCAAATAGGAATGATTAAATAACATATTTTGGACACCCTTAACATAACAAGCTGCTATTTCTGAACACCCTTTAAGAAATTTCTTGCTTCGCCACTGAAGATGGTCATAAAAAAATCAAGAAAAGTATATAAAATAATTGTACCTGGTGAAGCTGGTTGTCTTAAGTTAACATTTGTAACATTTCCTGTTCCACTCATAATACAAACTCCTCTTTGACGTCTTCTTGAAAAATTTGATACACTTTCCATAATATCACAACCATCAGCAATTTCCATAACATGAGTTCTAAGGGCATTTGCACTATCTCTAGTTATGATGATAGGTGCTTTTGGCTTATTTTTGGATCCAGCTGGTCTACCTCTAGGCCTTCTATTGAACTCTCCCTCTCTATGGCTTCCGTTAACGCCTAATTCATCCGTTGATTCATCAACATTTGAGTCATTGTAGTTGTTGTTGTTGTTGTCGTTGTTATTGTTGTTATTGTTATTGTTGTCTTCGCGGTCTCTCTTTTGGCCGGACATGTTTAGGCCACTTGTTCCACTTTGCTCATCTTCTGAGCTATGTTGGAATTGAAGTTGTTGTTGTTGTTGCTGGTGGTGGTGTTGATGGTTGTTATTGTGATGTTGTAAGTTGAAATTTCTCGTGTGGAAAGGAGGGGGGAGAGAATTGTTCGACGGATCCATAATCTAATTTTTTTTTGGTTTAATTAATTCTCAAAGAGACAGATCTAGAATAGGTTCAACAATAAATTCAACTTAAACACTAGATACCTATACTTTCAGATCGAATCACTTATACATATATCAAGAGAGAGAGAGAGAGAAATGAAAATGGAAATATGTCTAATAGATCACATCCATCTAGCTACTTTTGACCAGTTTGACTCTAAATTCTGAATTTGCGTTTGATAATCTGTACTTATTTTCTAAGAGAGATAGATTGATGGAAAGAGTGAAAGAGAGAGAGAAAGAACACTAGAGTTTGGAGAAAAAAATTAAAGAAAATGAAAGTACAAGAAAGGAAAAGGATGTAATGATTTGAAAACAAAAAAAAATTGTAATGATTTTATTGAATTAAAACAAAAAAATAAAATAAAATCACTTTGTTTGCTTAGTTTTTTTAGAAGAGAATATAAGGAGGAGTTGAGTTAGGGTTAGCTAATAACTTATCTTTGAGAGAAAAATAGGAAGATTTAGATTTTAGATCTAGTGGAGTTTTTGCATATTTTTGTTTTGTTTTGGTTTTGCTATGCTCATGGACGGTGCATTGGTCCCCCTCACCCCACCCCCTACCCCACCCCACCCCCTAATATTATTTAATTTGAGGTTTGATCCTTATCTGAACCATGCGTGAACATAGGATGTTTTTAAAGAGTGTATCGAGCTATCCCTCGATCACTTTACCTTTTATAAATCAATAGTGAAAAATGATTTTATTGTATAGTTAAAAAATGTTTACATAAATATGCGGATCGATGATTGTTCATATAAGAATATGACTAGTAATTTAGAAAATACGACATATGTATTATCTGTTACAACGGGTAGAACATTGTATATGTCGATAAATAAATTAGGAAAAGTTAATTTCTATATATATAAAAAGATGAAAAATCATATATAAAATCAATGAAAAATTAGCGATCTACATATATATAAGGAATATCAATTAATTTAAAATGCGTTTTAATTATATGAATGTACTTAAAATATAAAGAACTTTAAGTAGTAATTTTCAAAAATTAATTATTTTTTTATTTGTATAATGTGTTAGCATGAGATGATTTTAAACGAAGAATAACATGATTAATGAACCTGAATTTATATTTTTTTACTTTCACTTATGTTTTACGAAGGAGCAATTTGTTGTTATTTATTTGTTATAATAGATTAAAATACGATTACATTTACATGATTTTTTTATAAATATAAATAAATATTATTTGTTATATAGTATTAATATATGTTCACTCCTTTTTGACTTTTTGTCCATTTCCCTTACCTAGTAATCAATAAACTTAGCCTTTTTTCTTCATACGTTGTTACTTGATTGGTTAAGGTTTTCTTAAATTTCTTTATAGCATGTTACATTTAATGTTGTAATTCCTTTATTTTACAAATTTGGTGTTCTTTGTTATTCTAAGTTACATATAGTAATTGATTATTTTTTTAAAAAAATAATTTATTTTAAATTACTTGACCATTTATTAAATTAAATTAAATTAATTAATTTTTTTATTTATTCTTATAATTAATATCATTATCATGCTTAATATTTTCATAATTTATATTTGGAAGTTTAAAAATATTAAACTTTCTAGAATTTATCTTTTCAAAGAGTTCATCAAATATTAAATTGATTGTTTTGTTTATGATTTTTTATGTATCGTGTAAAATAAAAGGTGGTCAGTTATTATGGGAGGAGGAATATTACTTTAATAGTCAAAGAATAAATATTTATATAGTATTTTTTTAAAAAAAATAAATTATTAATAGCATTTTTTGTATAATTTTAAAATATGTAATTTTATTTTGAAAAATTAAGAAAATAGAAGTCCATGTTCATATCGAATAATAATTAGTATGATCCTCGTATTTAAAATGAAGTCAAATAAATTATAACGGAGGAAGCAATTTCTTTTTTTTAAAGAAATATAGACAGTTCAAATTAGTCCATGTTGCTAGTTGCTTGATTTCAGTTGATCCTTTATTTATTTTTACTTTTTAAAAAGAAAAACAAAAAAAAAGGACTTAGTGTGGTGGCTATGATTGGCATAGCTTTTATTTTTTTTTCAGGTTTTGAAATACTAAAATAGAAATTAAATTTGAAACTTTTAGTGTGTATTAATACAAGAATTTTTAGGAAATATATTGTTGGATTTTGTTTTACATGAAATTTTGAAGGTTCATTTCAAATGACAGCGTAAATTTATGATTATCGTACGAATTTATGATTCTTGGAGCTTTCGTTATGTATTAGCGCATGAATTTTTTTAAAATATTAGCATAGCTTAAAATTTGGAGGGACCATCCTTAAAAAATTAGGTTTTGTCATGATTGATATTGCTTTTATTTTTTTTGGAATTTCAAGGTACCAAATCGCAAAAATATGATTATTAGTGCTTTTGGTGTGTATTAACACATGAATTTTTTGAAAAATTATTGTCAAACTCAATTTTTCTTTAAATACGGAGGATCCCTCTTGAACTTCTCCATGATCGGTATCGTTTCTTGTTTTTTATCTTTCAAGTTCTTAAAGCGCGAATTCATCATTATATATTCAAGTTTTTAGCATATATTTGCACATAAAGTTTTTAAAACTTATAGGCATATTTATTTTTTCCTAGGATCTATCCCAAATGTCCTAGACTTCACCATAATTGACGTCCTTTTTATTTTTATTTTTTACATTTTGCGGTCTTGAAAATGTAAATTCATTTTTTACCGTGTATTAACATATGAATTTTTTTAAATTTATTTTGCCTAAACTTTGTTTACTACGAAATTCGAAGGATCCATCCCAAATTAAGTATTATGTATTAATTATTTGGTGTAAAGAATTATTTTCCTTCTTGATATTTTATTTAATTAGTTATCGAAGATTATTGCTTTAATTTATTGTGCAAGTCATCATTTCAAGTTTGATTTAAACTTTGCTTGTTACACGTTAAGTTTGGGGTGTTTTTAATATCTTTTTTATGAAGAGTTGCACACTCGTACAAGAGTTTGAGATTACTTGCTATGCAATGTGAAAGATTTGAAATGTATTTGAGTTGATTTAGTCAGATAAGATGAATATTTTTAACGTTGTCAATAATTCGAAAATGAAACTATAATTCGCATGTAAGTTCATGAATGTTTTTAACATTGTAAAAAAATAATTTTCATATCCTTTCGTAAGTTGACACGTGTCTAAATAAATCATGAACCTGATATTGTGCATGAATTTATGTAGGTTTTGTGGAATTTAGGGGAAAATAGTTGAAATTTTGGACAAAACATGAATAATTGATTTAAGCAAATAAGCAGTGGGAAATTAGAGACAATGCAAAAGGACAATTTGTTTTCAATAATTTATGAGGATGATGATCGAATAATTCAAATATAGTGATGATATAGGTAGAGGAAAGAGGCAATTAATTAATTAATTAATTAATTAATTAAATATATTGATTTTATGTGAACTCGATAGCTGTAGATGAGTGGATATACGAGTTCAATTGAATCATAACATTTTTTTAAAAAAAAATTACTATTCATCAAATTAAAATTCTAGCTCGCTTTGTTTATAGAACTAGGTATTCTATATATTAAATTTTCTTGGCTATATAAAAAAGCTTATCATTTAAATAAAATCAAATTTTCAATATAGTATAATGTTTTTTTTAAACAAACTGTGATCCCACGATGAAAAGTCATTGCCTGACTTTTAGAATAACAAGTTTTCTTAAGATGAGGTGCACATGATATTTTTAACGAATTACACATAGAAATGAGATAGAAAAGTGGGAGAGTTTTGTACGTAAAGCATAATACAAATCCACATGATACATACGTTTTTTTTTCCTTTTGGGACTCAATGTGACATAGCTCAAAAAGACAAATTCATGCGCACTTGGGCCCAAAGTAGACAATATGTTCCATGAATTTGGGATATGACAAATATAGTATAAGAGACAAAACATGACGCGCTCCGTAATAGAGGGGGGCCGAGCGAGGACGGGTTAAGAAGGAAAAATAGTATAGGCTGACAAGCTTCTAAAAAAGATCTACATGTAACACATCAATTAAGCAAATCTTATAAACATACAAATTAGAAGAGGAAAGTGAAAAATTTTATCAGACACCACATAAGTTCACATGATATGTATATACATTTTATAGTTCAAAAAATATCGTATAAGCCAAAAGACATATTCATATAGACTTAAAATCAATATAAAAAAAAAAGAAGAAGAGATAATTAGTACCATAAACTATATATATGAAGGACTAGTTACATCATAATGTCATGATTAAAGGATTGACAACAAAATTACATATAAAATAAAGAGATTAATATTAATTAATGCCGACCAAGGTCATAGAGTATGCTTTTTAATTTGTTTCTTTCTTAAACGGTTACTCCACGTAATTGGGAATTTCCAAATAACATAGTTTGACTACAAATTTTTTTTTTGGATAATAGTTTAATATTAATTAATGTCTTTTTTGTTAAAATTATAGAAACAAAGAACCATTATGGAATATGCTTAATATTTTATTTAACACTATATGTGTGAAGAAAAAAAATGTTTTTACAAAGTAAATGTCAAATTTGGGTTATGAAATAAATGTCACCCTCTAGAACTAAGGGGATGTTGTGATCAATAAAAGAAAATAAATCACAGAAGTTTCTTGTGTTTTACTATAAATTATACGCAAAATTTAGCTTATAAATTATACGCAAAATTATACGCAAAATTTAGCTTATAATGATGAATATATCGATATTTTCTATTCATAAATAAAAATTTTAAATCCATTGGAAAGATTTTGTATACAAGTTATGAGTCAAATTGACTTTGGTTTAAAATAAATATGGGCATAACATATATCTATACTTAATTTTAATTGTCTATTAAATATTTCAATTTTAAATATGCACATATATTTTAACTTATCGCACATTGTGGTCAGTTGGATACTTCAACTAGTAAAATGATTATCCAAATATATGTCACGTCAGTATTGGGGTGTCTACGATACGCGATAGCAGCAAGTTTAAGATGTTTAGTTGTCAATTCAACACTACAACTTATAAAATAATCATGCAGACACCTTTAAATTTTATACGTCATTTCAGCATTAAACATCCACATAAATACAAAAGGAACGAGTTAGAATAACTAGTTATCAGTTGAGATTAAATTTCGTAGGTAACCTCAAAGTTTGTTTAGACAGAGTCAACTAAAATCAAATTTAAATATTTATTATCGTGTATTATGTCAAATTATTTTATTTTTAAAAGAATAAAATAAATATAAATAATTAAATTTTATTATGATATAATTTGTAAGTTGAACACATGGTGCATCTGCCCCATTCTGTCTATAAATATGTGCAAAGAGGCGAGTTTAACGCTGACACAATTGAGAACTTGAGTCATGTGGTAGGATTCTCTTTGTATCCTATCGCCTTTTTTTTCGATATTCGATATATATATTTGAAATAAATTAATTTATAAAAAAAATATAAACTTTTCTATAAATTTGAGTTGATTATTAATTTGTTAACTTAGTTTATTTTAGTTCATAAAATATCGAGTTAATATGTAGCTCAAATTGATTAATGGAAAATTTTGTCAAATTCTTTTTAATTAATTTGTTATATATTAGCTATAGTAGAGGAAAAATATAGTTTTATTAGGTAGTGATTTATTATAAAAGAAGAAATAAGATAATTAAAACTTAGTAAGAATTCGATGAATTGGAATTATGACCCTTTCTAAAGCACATTTCAAGTCTATCATTTCAATCAAAGTAATTTATTTTGATATATTTTTTATTGTTATATCGAAATAATATTATAAAAAATGATTTTTTTTTAATTTATATAATATAGTTTGAATTTGATACAAAATTTAATGAATCTGAAAAGTATTTGTTATGTTTTAAAATGATTTCTTAAAGTAGATTAATTTTTAAAATAAAATAATATTCTATTCGTCCATCTTTATTATTCTCGGTTGGATATTCAACAAGATTTGTCTAATTTATAAAACCAACGAATGATTTATCATTTTATGCCTATTTTACCCTTGCTTATTAAATAGTACTATTCATTTTTCAATATTTAAATGACTTATATTTAATAAGAGTGATTTGATAAAATTACCTCGATTATTTACTCCTTAATTCATATGTCAAGTTAACAGTAAACAACTATTATTGGACATGTGGACTAAATTTTTGTAGACATTTTGCCAAATAAGTGAAACTCCACAAAAAGTTGATAGTTTCACTAAATATTTATCAAATAAAAAAATACTCCCTCTGTTAAAAAAAATGTTTATATTTTCTTTTTAGTTTGTTTAAAAAAAATGATCCTTTTTCTTTTTTGGCAACACTTTAATTTTAACTTTCCACGTGGCATGTTTAAGACCACAAGATTAAAGGGCATTTTGGTACATTCGACATAACTTTAATTTAAAACCACAAGATTAAAAAAGTCTTCTTTCTTTTTTTAAACTCCATTCCAAACCAAATCAGGTCATTTTTTTTAAACGGAGGAAGTATATTATTATTATCTAAATGGATTAAAAGAAAAAAATATATCATATTAATTAAAATAGAAGAAGTATAGTATATGTTATATATGAAGTATTACTTTCCTAGAAAATATGTTTATTATGATGCAATATTGTTATGATGATGAGAATAACTAGTATACGATGTATATGATTATAATAACAATACAATATGGAGGCTAGTTTTAGTAGAATTCTTGTATTTATTGATTGATGGATAGAAAATACATGTATAATATTTTTATTTTCTTTATATAGGAATTATTAGGCATATGAGTTTGTTATCTAAATTATTATCAAATATTTATCAAATATCTTAACTATCAGTTATTTACTTTTCTTATCTAAATTATCATCAAATATAATTAAAATATATCTAAACTATCAGTTGTTTACTTTTCTTACTTGAACAATGTCGATATTACATATAAAAAAAGGTGAATATACAATTGATATTTGAGATACTTTTCAATATAACATTTAGTGATAATTCAAATAGAAAATTCACACAGCTGATACTCAGATATATAATTCAAAAAAATATTAAAGTATATTTTTAACTTTTTAACTCATATTAATACACAAATACTTAATATATATATAAAAATTAAACTCTCTAAATTGTCATGCTTTATTATTTATAATCTTGAATACAATTTATTTATATAAATTACATACTTTTGTAAAGCAACTTTGAGAGGTCAAGGAGACTCATGCACATGCAAATTTGAGGTCTTCAAGATGAAAAAAAAAGAAGAGTTTTTGAATCTTTCAACACTTACATGTAGCCAATAATAGGTATTATGTGCTCCTAATTCTTGTCTCAATTTTATAAATATATTTGTCGTTTTCTTTTCACACTAATCCTTGTATTTTACTCTTTTTTTTATTTAAAATTTTACGAGTTATTTATCACTTTTTATCAACAACAGATATCAAGTAACTCTATTCACTAAAATTAAGATAAATAAATAGAATCACCTATTATTTGTAAGATTATTGAATTACAAACATTAAATGCGAATAAATTTTATTATATTAACAATATATTGATTTGATTAACTGAAAAAAAAATTAAATCTAAGAAAGTAAAAAAGTAAAAGGGTGAGGTATGCATGTGACCATTATCTGTTGGGAATCAATGCAATCATCACTTAACTAATTAATCAGTAGCTTTGTTAGTTTATTATTAGCACTAATTTCAATTATATTTGCTTCTTTTCTTAATTGTTTGAGTTGTTTGTCAAAGCTGTCCCCTTTCCAAACTCCAAGAAGATGCTACTTTTATTGACAAATTAGTTTGAACAAAATCTATTTCTTTCGATACTTTCTCTGTTATAATTTGTTTATCATATTTTGAGTGGTCATCCGTGAAATTTACTCTTTGATGCTCATAGCACAAGTTGTAACTAGTTGAGTCTCATTTGGAGTCAACTAAGTGTTTGACATGTTAATGGACATACAATACGAGGTGTGACGTAGAAGACGCGATAGAGCTGATGCAGATCTATGAGGGGATGAGGGTGTTCCCTCGATAAAAAATTATATTGTATATATGAGATATTTTCCTCATTTAAGACTTGCTTTATTGAATCTCTATCAATGGTACTCCTTTTGGTGGAAGGTGTTTAGACTATATATATGACGCGACACGAGGTTAGATTCGGAGAGCATTGGCAAAGTTAGTGAGCTTCGTTGGTTTTAAAAATGATAAAATTAGTCCATAAAAATATAACCTGGTCAAGTCGGGAGGATCGTTGATCGCCCATTTATTAGCTTAAAACATATTTTCAATGAGAAATTGGACTAATATGTAGACCAAATTAACCAATTTTGATGGGCATACAAAAAGCCCACTGGGCCTTTGGCAAGCCCATTGAAACTACACTTAACTCTAGCAAAATGAAAGACTATTATGTACAACAACAACTACATAATCAATGTAGTTTCACACATGTAATTCGAAAGAAATAGTGTATACGTAGATCTTACCTGTGTTGTAATCATCGCTTAAAACTAATTAATTGACACTTAAAGTTTAAAGTTGTCCCTGTACAAGAAGATGCAATTTTTATTCACAATTAATAAATTCATTTGGAGATTAAGTGTATTTATAATTTAGATTGATGACTTTACATGGAGACTTTTATTTATACTTCATTGATAAATTTTTTAATTCATCGTATAAAGTTAAAGCTAAAGCTATCGAATTCAGATGGACTCATAAATTTTACGATAAATTCAGTGGCTAATTTGTCGAAGGCCCAAGGAGTGTCACGCCACCCATAGACTTCAATGAAAACACTATGTATATATGTATTAGGAAATTACGCTCCAAATGTCTTGTCTTGAATTTTTGTCAACGCTTAGTAAAATAATTTTAAAATAAGGGACAAGGTACAAGTGCCCCCTCAAGACTATGAAAGATTTCTCAGAGACGTACCTTAACTAATCTAAGATCCTATTACCCCTAAACTTATTTTTTGTATAATTTTGTACACCTTTTGGCTTACGTGGCACACTCCGTGACTCCACTTAAGTGAGGCAAGATATTTGGAGACCACGTAGGCCAAAAAGGTGTACTATATTACTAAAAAAAGTTTGGGAGCGAGAGGGGGGATAATAGGACAAGGTGTGTCTCTGGAGTTCCAGTCATACTCTAGAGTACTAGTGCTTTATAAAGTTAAAATAGTATGAACAATTAGATTGCCAAGTAGAATAACAATTGATCAAAATTTGCCAATGGCAAAGGGTAATAGTTTACTTACAAACAAATGTAAACTCCACAAATTTAGGAACTTGCAAATTAAGAACACATGAAAATGAAATAATAAGGAAGATCAAAATAGAGATCAATTCATCACTAATACTCAATTCTATCTATTTTCCTTAAGTTGTAATGGAGAAAGCCTTCAACATTTTTTCTCTTAATAGGACTCATGTTACTTCACTTGGTTGTGGCTAGCAACTTAGCCATGACTCACACCAATACTACCACTGAATTCTGAAACCCCACATTTCTTACTTCTCTTGACCTGAATCACAACAGTTTCTATGGAAATTTGCCTCAAGAAATGGCACGTTTGCATCGGTTAAAGGTTGTTATGCTTGGTTTCAACAACTTCAATGGGGAGGTTCCTTTGTGGTTCTCCAAGAAATCATGTTCCTACATGCCACACTAGTTACTTCAAAGCATAGATCCAAGATGAGAAAACTACTTGCTCTAATTCTAACGGCTGGAATTGCATTTGTATTAGCCTCCATCGCCTTTGTGATTGTATGGATAAGGTCTATAATAGGTAAAAGAAAGCAAGAAGTCGATTCAGCGTATGTTGTCTCAACAAGAGGAAGAATTTTCATACTACGAATTGATCTGACCAACTGATTCACTCAGTGAGAGTAATTTGATTATATTCGCACAACTACTCCCTAGAGTACACGTCCAATGGGAGCCTCGATAAGTGATTATATTCGCACAACTACTCCCTAGACATCAACCATCGACTAAGTATAGTGATAGATGTGGCATCTCCATTGGAATATCTACACCACGGCTACTCATTGCCCGTGATACACTGTGATTTGAAGCCTAGTAAACATAGGTTTTTTTGTTCCTCACAATGACACAGTCTAGTTGAGCAACACTACTAGAGTTACGCTATGCACTAAATCATTCACACAACAAAGGACTCATTCAGGCAATTACACAAACACCTTACGTGCAACAATCATACTGATTCGAAATTAGAGTATAAAAATCATTCACATAGCAAAGGGATTCATTTAGGCAATTGAGCAAACATCTTACGGGCAATCATTATGATCAGGAAAAAACAGAGAGGAGCTGGGGAGATTCGTACCTGATTTAGCTCCCACTTTTTTTTTCCACTTTTTCGAAATTGTGCCATGTATTTTACTTTGGTAAAAAATTGATCGACATAAATTATAATGCATTATTTAACTTGGCTATTCTCCGAGACATACATATAATTTTGAATAAAACTGAATTACATAATGGTCATATGAGATCAAATTATTCAATTATATTAAGTTTATATACTTATAGGTTGATTCTTATATATTATGTTAATCCGATTTGACCCAATATTTAAAAATTTTAAAGTATTTAAGCGAATTTTAAAATTTCAAATCTATACTATACAAGTGTACAACGAGCTCGATCTAAGAGGTAAACTTCTTGCTTTCGATGATACGGAGTTAGATCTCCAATATGAAAATTACAAATCTAAATCATTAGGTCGCCGTGAAGGATAAATTGAATTTTTTTATCATATTTAAAATTCACCAATTATAATTACACGATAAAATATTATTTTTCTAGCCACTTTATATGAAAACATAATCAACATCACCGACAAATATTGTTATAAGATAATAAATACTTTTTATATTTCTTAACTAGAAATTTCAAATTCAATGCATAAAAGTTAAATTACCTCTAATAAAAAATATATATTCTCAAAATTAATTTTTGCAAATTAAATTAGGTATACAATATCAAATAAAAATATAATATAGGCAATTTATCCTAACAAAAATATTATTATCAATTCCTCAACTCGAATATTTAACATATAAATTAGATGGAAAAAAACATGGCTATAACATCCACATGTTTTATACATTTCAATCAAGGAATATAAAAATCATTTAAAATAATATGGAATCTGAGCTGGCATCCACGTGTCAAGTATCCACATAAACCACAAATTGTGAACTTAATATTCCTAATAATAATAATAAAAAAAAAATTCCTAATAATAATAATAATAATAATATTCCTCTTACCCTTTGGTTTCTTATAAAAGCCATTCTAATTGTGGATGTTCTTTCTTTTGCCTTTCCAAAATTCTTTTTTGCTATCCACAAGCAACAAAAAAATATTTAAAAAATACATGTCATAATTTTATGTGGATAAAAAAACATCTTTTTTACAATGCTAACCATGCCACCTCACTAGCCTTTTTTCTCTCTAAATTGCAAAATTTGACTTTCGGAAATAATAATGTTTATTATCAAAAATAATTTTATATTTAAGATTTAAATCTGATATCTTTATTTAATAATGAAAAAAATATTTATCACGTTATTATAATTTTTGGTGATTATCGAGCAAACAACAATGTCACTTTCCTTTCCTTTTTTCGATTTCATATCTGATTTTCAATCGATAGACTGTTTAAGACTTAACTAATATGAATTCACACTCCATAATAAATATAACTCCGTATAAGAGTTTTAATTTCAATCTTCTATTTTAAAATAAAAAAAATATTTATCACTCTGCCATAAATAGTTATCGAGCGAACAATAATGCCACGTCATTTACCGCCGAATCTTTTAAGTAAAGCGGGAAAGAGAACGGCCGCAACTACTTTTAAATTGTTGTTGTCTTAAAGTTTGAATTTTTTATTTTTTTATTATTATTATTTTAAAGTTTGAATTTAAATATGAAAAGTAGCTTTTACATGAGTACAATTTTTTTGAGAAAAAAAAGCTTTATATTTTTATTTTTTTTTAAAAAGCAAATTTAAGCACTTGCTTATCTTTTTATATATATATATGACGACATATATGTAATATAGGTAGGGTTCATCCATGAAAAATGGTCATATAACTTTTTTAAAATAATTTTAAATTTAAATTTTTGAATTACAAATTAAATTCTAAATTAACATCTAAACATTTCATATTTTGGATTGGATATTGAATTTGGAACTTCGATCACTATCCATAAATCCAAATTTTTTGTCTTTATATTTATTGCTAAAAATTAGACATAAATTTATATATCTAATATTCTTTCTCTCGATAAATGATCATTACTTGAATGAATATTTTATTTAGATGATTGTGAAAGGAATGAAAAATTGTTAATAATACAATTTAATATGAATATTTTTATTCGAATGTTCGATTTTATATAAAGGGCAAATTCATGCATTTATAGGCTCAGATCGGAAGAATTCAAAATAATTAAATCGATTAGTTTAAAGTCACGCAAACTTAAGATAACCGACATATTATTAGGATTGGATTTGAATTTTTAATTTAATAATTTGAGTTATAAAAAGAGCTTGAGAAAATAACGTGATTGCACGTAAATTTTTAAAGTAATGCTCGTGTAGTTGTATTCCATGACAAAATTAAATTTGATTAATTCTATAGATTATAAAAACATTACTATAATTAAATTGTTGACATTTTGATTTATCAACAGGCATGAATATGTTCTCTCTTGATGTTTTTAAAATACTATAAAAAAAAACTAAGAATTTAAATTATATATTGTGATAATAATTTGTTAATTGTCAACGATAGTAATTTTTATTTTATTTTCAAATTCTGAATTCCCTTCTAAATAAAATAATTATATTTTTTTAATTATTAATTTATAAAATATTGTAAAATAATATAATATTATGGGACATGCAAAAATCACACACCATGATATGTCCACCAAACACCTAATTAATTAATGTCATGTTTTTTTTAGTAATTAATTAATTAGTGAAATGAATTTAGACTGTCTAAACAAGTCAATGACACAGTAACAGCATGAAGCATAGCATATACATATATAATAAAATATATATTATATTATATATAGTTAGAAATAGATGTGAAAGTACGTAATTAGTACATCTTAAACCAATAATTAATTCGTACATGTTACAAAAAAAATATATAATACTCCGGATATGCGTTAATTAGTTGTTATACAAGTAATATTATTTATCAACTTTAAATAACAAAGGTCATTTCTGATTAAAATTCTCATGTTCAAATCTTATGTATAGAGTCGTCATTTATATTACAAACTTTGTGGCGTGATTTAAAATTTAATCGGATTTCTACACGTGTCATCGAATTTAAAAATTAAAACTTTGCCCTGGTTTATATTGATGTTATAGTCTCGTAATTTTAGTCGATAATTGTCTCTACTCAACTCTCTTGTCTTATTTTGTCTGCCTTAAACTAACGATATCTAGTGTAAATTCGACTATAAATTTTTTAGTTCTTTTTAAAATAAAATTAATATATTTTAAAAAAATCTATTTGTCAAAACAACTTTGATAATTATTTTATTTTTTTATTTATTTTTGAGATGAAGTGTCCCTGAGCTGACACGTGGGTCCAAATCCACGTCGATTTAAGTGTACTTTCTGTATTGACAGTTCACTTGATTCTAAATTAGTGGATAGTAAGTAAAGCAACCCATTTAAAATATTCCACGTGGCATCTGAGGTGGAAATTTTCCCCATCAAAAGTCATTTATGAATTATGATCTAAAAATTATTTAAATTCTTTTTTTTGCATTAAATAGGATATTATAATATTTTATTTCAAAAAAATTATATTTCTCTTTTGTAGCGTAAAAGATGTAGTGATATGTAATTTACGCTGTTCAGGAATATTATTGGAAATAATATTTTTATATTCGTAAGATAAAAATAAAATTACATACACTACAATTTTTTTCTATCAATGAAATAATCCTGAATATATTATTATAATTGTTATCATAGAAAAAGATGTGAAACTGAGTATAATAAGCCAATATGTCACCATTTGTATTTTAAGTTTTCAAATCAAACTTTCCATTAGGTTAAAGTAGGTAAAACAAGATCAGTCGCGATTTAGTAGTCGAGGTCTAGAATGATTTATTTTTTTCACTTGTAAGGTTAGATAGAGTTATTTGGTACCACATGTAACGAAAAGGTGACATACATTTTATGAAATTAACCTAAATACGCGTAAACTAGTCCAAACATCACAATTTCTCAATTTTTTTAATAATAAAAAAAAGATTAGGCATGGCATGTGACATACTCACTTGTACACACCCTTTGCTAGAGTCAAGACCTTGATATATAAAACTATTTAATCAAAAATGTCAAATATAATTTTTTTCCATAGTCAACTAATTCTTTAAAATAAAATAAAATAAAACATTGTCAAATAATTAAAGTGAATAATTAGGAAAAATAAATAAATAATACTCTATATAAATAGGTGTATGTATGTACAAAGAATACTCAAGGTCCGTTAATGGTGGAATTGAGCTGTTTTCGTGAAGAAATTTTCTCAATTACTGAAAAGGGGTTCTAAAATTGTTTGTTTTGAAGCCAAATTCTTCTTCAATTTCTTCATTTTTATCATTTTTTTTGGGTCTTCGGTGCTGAAGGAAATTCTAACTGTTAATGGTGGAATTGAGCTGTTTCAGTGAAGAAATTTCTCATTTATGAAAAAGGGGTTTTGAAATTGTTTGCTTGAAACCGAACCCACCTCCATTTTCTTCTTTTTGATCTTGTTTTTGTCTCTGTTATTGAAGAAAATCCAATTTCAGTGAAGAAATTTCTCATTTCTGAAAAGGGGTTTTTGTAGATTTTGTGAAATTTATCTTTTTTTTTTGGTCTTTGGTGCGCTGAAGAAAGTTGGGAAAAAAAAATGAAATTCAACACAGATGATATGGAGTGGCCTACTTTTTTGGATGAATATGAAAAACTTGTTTTTCGAATGACTATTCCCAGGTTAGCCTCTTCAATATTCATCGAAATTCTCCGGGGGCTCGTTTGATCATGAAAATTTTGAATATTTTTAAAAAAAATATATAGTAATTTTTGGTTTCAAATTGAAAAATGATATTTGTAATTTGAAAGTTGTGTTTGACCATGAATTGAATGAGTAATTTGGAGTAAAAATAACAATCTTTTTGGTGTTTTTTCATATTCTTGAATTTGATAATTTTCCATTTTTGTTTGAACTACTGCTTTTTTCTGATTAGTCTTTGTGAATTCTACTGCAGGGTAATGATCGATAACGCTACTTCTTCAAATGCCACCCTTGTTAAGGTAATACGCCTTTGTTGTGATCTTGGAATGTTTTTTTTATTGAGTTACCTTCGATTTTCAACTAGTCGAGGATGAGTTTATTTGAGTTAACTCGTTAAATGGTCATTCAACTAAACGTTATTATGTCAGAAGGCGACTATTAAGATAATGACTATACATTGTGTGAACATATGAGAAATCAATATGAGTTTAATTGTAGTCCGTTTTACCACTAATTGTCAAGTTAGCATACCCTTGTTTTCATTCGGATTAAGAATACAAGTTACATAGGTGAAGGATTTATGTGAAATGATAGTTAAGTAGTACTAACTAATCTTTACGAATTTTATATCGTGATCAAGTACAGATAGATAGCGCGAGGAAACATGGGATTCTTCTTGAAGCCGTTCAAGTTCTAACAGATTTGAACCTTTCAATAAAGAAAGCTTACGTCTCTTGTGATGGGCGGTGGTTTATGGATGGTGAGCTGCTCAATTGGTTCGATGTTTTGGTTTGAGAGGATTTTTAGTGAATGTTTTATTGATTCTTTGACATTTGAATCCATTTTGATCTGCAGTTTTTCATGTTACTGACTTGGAAGGAAACAAGTTGACGGACAAAGGATTCATCAGTTACATCGAACAGGTATATAGTTATCATTTTAACAGTAATTCTGCTACGTGGATCCTTTATTTGCCTTGATATCAATTTTCATGACATGCCCGGGTATGGCTACTTAATGGAGGTTTTTCAAACTATACTAAGATTTTGTTTGACGTAAAATATGAAGATACCTGAGGAGGTTTTATACTAAATCCGAACTTTTTGCTAATGTTAAACAGTCACTTGGGACGATTCATTATGCAAGTTCAAAGAGCTATAATGGCTTGACAGCTCTGGAACTAACTGGAACGGATCGAATTGGCCTTTTATCGGAAGTCTTTGCTGTACTGTCAGATTTACAGTGCAATGTAGTTGAAGCTAAAATGTGGACTCACAATGGTCGTATTGCCTCCCTGATACATATTAAGGAAAGCCAGTCGGGGTACCCAATTGAGGACTCGCAGAAGATTGACAGAATTGAAGCCCGTTTAAGGAGCGTGCTTAAGGGGGATAATGATGTTCGAAGTGCTAAAACATCAGTGTCTATGGCTGTCACGCATACAGAAAGAAGACTTCACCAAATGATGTTTGCAGACCGTGATTATGAAAGAAAGCCAGTGATTAGGACTAGCAACGATACCCCGAGGGTATCGGTGTTGAACTGCTTGGAAAAGGGTTACTCCGTGGTAAATATTCAGTGCAAAGACCGAACTAAGCTGCTATTTGATGTCGTTTGCACGTTAACAGACATGCAGTATGTTGTGTTCCATGCCACAATTGATTCAGCTGGGGACAGGGCGTACTTGGTATATTCCTTTACTTACTTATCTCGCGTCTTAGGCATAATACATAACGCACACTCAAACTTGGCCTGGACTGATGAGTAAGCACTCCAACTTTGAGTACGCAGATCTAGACACCGTGGGGACGAGTTGGGAGTGTTTAGTTGTCAATTGAGACAAAGTTTTGAGGTGTTTAATGTGCATATTCAGAGTTGGAGTGCTTCCGGTTGAAGCCAAGTTTGAGCGTTTGTTTATGTACTATGCCTTTTCTTAATAATATTCAGTAATATGCATTTGCTCATGTTTTTTTATATCTCGTCTCAGGAATTCTTCATTAGGCATACAGATGGAATCCCTATTAGTTCAGATGCTGAAAAGCAACGCGTGATTCTATGTCTACAAGCTGCTATTGAAAGAAGAGCATCCGAGGTATTCGTCTGCTTCTCTCTTTTACTATCTGAAAAGACACGTTTTAACTATACCTTTCGTAAAGACTGTTTAGAATATTCTTCCAACACAGTACTCCAATTCTGATCACAGGGAGTGAGACTAGAGCTATCCACGGAAGACAAACAAGGCTTATTGGCCGATGTAACTAGAACATTCCGAGAAAATGGTCTAAACGTGACGAGGGCTGAGATATCAACCACAGGGGAATCAGCTCTAAATATATTCTACATAACAGATGCGAGGGGGAATCCAGTCGATTCAAATATCATTGAGTCTGTTAGGGAGGAAATCGGATGGAGTAACTTGAAAGTGAAGGAATTGCCATTGATCAATCATCAAACGGCTGATAGAGACGAGCCTGCAGTGGGTGTAGGTGGGGCTATGTTGTTGTCACTTGGTAGCATATTTAGAAGGAATCTTTACAGCTTGGGGTTGATCAAGTCGTTTTCTTGATGCCACAAAAATGAATCTTCTCATACCAACTTACCAAAAAGAAGAATACGAGAAGTTCATATTCCTCCGAATTCACACTCTGGAAGCCTCAACGGACACCTAAGTTCGAGTGGCATGTACATATAGCTTAAGGATTACTGATAAAGTGAGTGATTCGTTGTTCAAGAAAAATGCATAGCTGTTGGAGAATCTGATACACACCCTGGTGGTATGTCTAAAGAGTCCGAGCAACATAGAGTGGATGGTATTGGGGGCCATTTAGCATTTGAAAGATGTGATAGGAGACAATGCCTCAATTTCAAGCAAGTTAAGGTCGTTTATATGAATTTCCATTGTCCATGACACTCAATTTAAGCATGCAAGGGATGGGTATGCAACGAGGACGCATCAATCTTGAAGCAACTCGAGATCAACTACATGAATCTTCACTGTCTATGTCGCTCCCCTTAAGTACATGGTGAAGGGCTATACTCGAGCAATTTGGGTTCGGCTTATATGAATCTTCACTGTCTATGTCGTTCCATTTATATGCCGGCATGGAAGCAGGTAAAAGGGCCCACAAACAGTGATATTTGTAAATATCCACATTTTTATATGCAAAATCTAATGTTTGACTTCATTTTCTTATGCTTATCAATGCCTGTCTGGATGTTATCCATATGGTTCTTAAAGGAAGAATATAGGAGTATATTTTATTTGGTGAAATTCAATGTATTCCATTTACTTGTGTCAATAGAATTGACATACTTTTTAAATTTGCACTATTATATATGTATCAAAAACAATAGATTTGTTCCAAATAATAGAGATAATAGAATTTCAACCTCAAATTAATCCATAATGTTAAAAATCATGAAATCTATAATCATTGGATATCATTATCAAGCAATTAAAATAAATGCCTCCAAATAAATCTTCTTTTTTTTTTGAAATTTTATTCATTTTGGGACATGACAATTTCCTTGAGAATCTTATATGCTTGCTTCTATCTTTATCCAAAACTCAAAAATTCTTTTTTTTTCTTTTTCATCTACTTTTATGGAGTAGATAATATTATATTAAAATATTTTTGCAAATTGACCAATAAAGATTTTTTAAAAAAGATAACTCTTTAATTTTTTGCAAATATTTTTTTTTGTAGGTGGATATTGCTTCTTACTAATTGCAAAGAATCTTTTAGATCCCTCAATTTGGCATCTTACAAATTCATACCTATAAGTAACCAATTTTTTTTCTATAATTGACATTATTATTAATAAGGGCATAATTTGAGTGCGACATGTGAATTTAATCGAATTTTATAATTTAAATTTAAATTTATATTAATTTAATATGTATAAGTTGTTAGTATCTTAAAAAAGTGAATACTTCAAATTTATTTATTATTCTGACTCGATGCCTAGCTAGATATACTATTATTATTATTGTAATAATAATAATAATAATAATAATAATAATATTTTGGCTGATGTATGTATAGGTTTTTATGTATAGAAGGGTATCTTCTATAAATAATGTTCCAAAAGCATGCTTTTGTCTCTTCTTTAATTTGTTTTGTTTAATTGTTCCAAATTAGTGGCTTTCATATGATTTCTCACATGTCAAATGTTATATTCTTTAAACACACAAAAAAAAAATTCCATCCTTTTCTAGACAATAGTAAATCGCCTTATGAATATTGTTTAACAAAGTTAATTATGATAAATCTTATTATTATAAATTCATATAGTAAAAAGAAATCAATTGACATATTTGTAATTGAACTTATTTCAAACAAAGAATTAATCTTGGTATTAAAATTCACTCAAATGGGACCTACATTAATTTCACCTATAACGTTTTAGTCGCGATTTTTCTCTGACTCTAGGTCTCAGCCTAAGCCTATGAGAAGTGGGTCGTGACACACTAGTTGTTTCATCTTGAATGCGTCTAACTAGCTTTTCGCCTTTTGGATTTTTGATCTATTTATTTTCATTTTATATATTTTTTTTATTACGAGAGATCTTTATTTTTACGCCGTAAAGAGTCAATTCTTTCTACTATATCACAAACATGAATTTTAGGATAGATGCATTTTTAAACTCAAATTTGTTTGTGGCTTCTGTTATAAGAGTTTATTGGACCTAGTTTCATCCAATTGGCCCTCATGCATTACTGGCCCATCGAGCCTGTTATAAAAGCTCTATTCGAAATATCTTTTTAATGATCTCGAGTTTAAATTCGAAAATAAAAAATTCTAGTAAAGCGAATTTTCATCTTTAATGAATTTTACATGATGTAAATCTTAATTAATCATGCCAGTAGATATCGGTTTTCAGTCTTGTCTTCGTAAATCATTATTATAAAGTTTCAAACATCTTTAAAGAGTTTCATCCAGAAGTTTTTGAACTTTCATAATGTATTTCTTAATTATATGACTAAAATGTGATTTTTTTTTTGAATTTCACACCTTGTTTAAATATTACTATATAGTTCTTATATTTGTCCAAATCATTAATTATAGAAAAAATTATATATAATATTAAACTATTAATTTAAATTAATTGCTCTTAATATCATTTGATTTAATTGTGTATCCCATAGTAAACTGTTGTTATTTTGCCTCTCTCCTAATGAATTTCGCGCGCCACTCTCGTTCTCGTTGGCAGTCTTGCTCGCCTCTCTCGCTTCTATACAAATACAAATGTATAGAAAGTGTTTGTGTTTGTATAAAGCGAGAGAAAATTGTATATATACATATATTTCCGTTACCTTCTCCCAGATCTCACTCGCCCACTCTCACTCGTCTCTCTCACTTTATACAAAATCAAATGTTTATTTTGCGTTTGTGTTTGTATAAAACGAGATAAAATTGTATATACAAATACAAATGCATATATTTTTGTCTATACACTTATGATTGTACAAATACAATCTTTTGTGTCCAATTTTCTTTTGTCTTTCTCTCTTTCTCACTTTATACAAATATAAATTATACAATTTATTTTTGTATATGTATACTGAAACAGAAACAAATTATACAACTGCTTTTTTTTTTTATATGTGTATAAAAATATGCATATTTATATTTGTTATAGATCGTAATTATGCAAACTATAGATATAACAATACAAATATAATTTTTATGTTTTTTGTAATATGTGAAAGATAATCTAAATTATACTTCACCAGGCTCCATTTTGGGTCAATCCATGACCAAATGGTTGGACCTCACTTTGTTGGATCAATAACATGCATGCTTTAACCAAATCTCTTGTGCAAGAAGTAGTGAATTGTAGCTAACAATATTGTTTGTCTTGATATTTTTTTATCACTGTGGAAAAATATTACTAAAGAGAACATATAGGGTGTGTCTGGTACGAAGGAAAATGTTTTTCTGGAAAACAATAGATTTTGGACTTATTTTCTCATGTTTGGTTGGTGAATAAAAAATATTTTTCGAAAATGATTTTTAGTGTTTGATTTATGAATGAAAAATATTTTTGAGGAACATCTTTTATTTTTACTATAATATAAAATAATTTATGAAATTAAAAATATTTTTTGAAAATAATTTTTTATTGGGTGGTGGTGATAGGGGGTGGGGGGCAGAGGGAGGGGGTAGGAGTGAAAAAATAAAAATTTGAAGTTTATAGTATTTTTAAAAAATAAAATTATTTTTTTGGGGATTTGGGGTGGGGTGAGGGGGC